TGAATGGACTCCAAATTTAGTCCAAGAATCATGTCAAAATCAGGAAGTCAAAGAAAAAGAAGAGTTGGTGATTTTTATATTGCTAAAATACTGTTAAAGACAAAGATTAAAAATAAGCATAAATTTATCTCATTTTTATAGTGATAAAAAAAGCAAAAACAGTTTCATGCTATATGAATACATAGTAGTTGCAGTTATAAATATATTGTTGCATTTAATAATTTATGTTCTGAGAAGTATTTCTAAGCTATATTTATTGTTAAGAATGTAAACAGGAAATAAAATTGTCACAGCTGAGAATAGAATTAACCTGAGAGTTCAAATGTTGGCTATTTGAATGTAATCTACCATTTGCTATATGAGCTATATGAGAAACAGAGTAAGCATTTTTAGTGTCCTCACATTACCAGAAAATATAATCCGAAGAAGATTTTAATGTTTACTGTTTGCGTTAACAGATTAATCAGTTGTATTGAATATTATGGATGCATACAGAAGTGGGGCACAGGCCAGAGGCTCAGGGGCGGCGAGAGGCTTCACGAGAGACAGAGTGGGGAGCAGAACCGGCAGATCGACGAAGTACACTGCTGAGGGCGGGTCAGGAGAGGTCTGCCACACCATGTGGTCACCTCTGGGGGAGGCGGGAATAGAACTTATGTGGAAGTGGCTTTTAGCTTCTCAGTGCTGTGCTTCAACCCGCTGCGCCACTAGGGAGGGCGGATAACCACTTTTAAAAAATTCTGCAAGACATTTTTTTTTTATCAATCAGTAGTTTGGTTTATTTCATGGTGATTAGGAAGTTTTTTATTTTGTTTTCCATCAGTAATTAAGGCAAGTGTTCACTTTTTTAATTATTGGGATTTTTAATGTTATGCACAGCTGAATTGCTTTTATTGTTATTGGTTTATTGTGTGTTTGTGTGTGTGTGTGTACTGTGGCCTCCAGCCACAGTATATTTCACCTAGATGTTGTTCATCTTTTCTGAAGGCTACTTTTAAATTATACCAGATCTCATCTTGACCGTTTAACTTAGGACTGTTATTCTTTAATAGGATAAGTTGATTGTAGTATAGTAAAATAAATAAATAAAGTGTTACTTTGTTATTGGAAAAATAATTCTTAGCAGTGATGTATTACCCTATTCTGTCCACCTAAATGTATTTCAGGGTGTTGAAAGCCCATTGACACAGTTGTCAAAGCAAGAGTAATGAATGTAACAAAACTGCATTCCCGGGAAATGTCTGGCATAATTGCTGACATGGTAGTACAATTAATACATAGTCCTTTGGTGGTCCTTGTGAAGGCTTGAGGATTTAAATCATCACCGAGAGGTTAAAAATGTGGCAGTGCCCAATGAATATTAAATGTAAGCAAGGATGAAGTAATACTCCCACACAATGCCTGTGAGAACCCATATATAGACAAAATTATGTATGTGCTCTTGTCAGAGTATTTTTGCCTAAAATTGAATTTATACTAAAAACAATTCAAAATTTATCAAAAGTCCTTTCACTCCTCTTTAAAATTTATGTTGAAAAATGCCTTTTTTTTATACCATACTGAGTGGTATTTCATACCTGCTGCTGATGTGAAACGTTATTAATAAAAACAATACATGGCGAGAGGCATAGAGAGGATAGTGCAGGAGCTGTCACTGAAAGCTGGAACAGTCTCCTTGGGGAGGTGGTGTTAGCACCAGCTTGGGACTTGGGGCCTCCCCTGCTGATAGCTCCCAAGTTCTTCATTTGCATCCTCCTGTGGATTTAACCCTGTTGTCCTGTCTCCTTTCGTTCTGAGTCCTTATTCTGCCTTTTCCTGGATGCCTCTCTCTTGATCTGACCACTCTGACATCTCCCTCTTCTGTTGTCTTTCCCTTAAATCACAGTAGTGACCCCACTCCATGTCTTTCCTGGCCTCTCTGTAGAGCTTTAGGGTAATTTTTAAAAAGCACCAGTTTGGGATAAGGACCAGAATATAATATGCCACATATAGTACTTGCTAGCTTTGTAACTAGGGTCATTCACTTAATCTCTTTTTTTTTTTTTTGCATCTGCTTTTGTATCAAAGCAACAATGATACAAATAATAATTCCATAAGCCCTTATGGAATTGATGTGTCATCTACAAAATATATATACACACACACATATATATGTTAAAACATATATATGTAAATGTATAGATATATATGTGTGTATATATATATATATATATAATATATATCTAAGGTCTGAGACACCATAGTAGTCCAGTAATATTAATTATCTTATCTCTTCCAGACAAAAATTGCAGTAAAATTTAATTTCTTTGATGTGTCCTTAGTTGGTTTATGCCCCAATACTTAATTGTAGCCTCCAGTCCCCTGTGATATACATGTTCAGCAATCGCTCCCTAGCAATGTCTTACAGGTGCTTCAGACACAGTGAAGAATGCCAAGTTGTTGGGGTAAAATTCTCCTAAGCTACTTGAACTAGCTAACACACTCTTTAGGTTTCTGTTGATTTTATTGTATATGGAAATTTGTTCTGAAAGATACTTTACCAATGAAGGGTAACGGCTACCATTTTGAGTTGCATGTCTGCCTTACTGTACTTATTTAGAGATAAAGGAATGTGATGTATTTTGACCAGGGGCCCCAAGGCTTACATTATGCTCTGCCTTTGAAATCCTCAAAGGAAATACATGTGGACAAGTATTCATCCTTTGCCCAAGTGAGTGAGGTTGGTTTGAATGGCCTACAAGCAAAGTATTCTGCTAAGAGTTCAGTTTCCTTAAACCCCAAATGGACAGACCTTACACTAACACTGCAATGCAAAGGGAAAGGCTGACCCAAGGCTGTTACTGGATGTGTTCTGTAACAGGAAGGGATTTCCCTAGGGTCAGGCACAACACTGGGCTAAGTCATTTGCCTCAGCTCTCAGGCAGGGTCAGAAGTACAGAGCTTACTGCCCTGGGCAGAGAAATGATGGAAAAATGTAGCGGGCTGGAGAAAAGAAAAATGAAAAGAAAAATGAAGGCACTTCCACATGCTGACGCTATCAAGTTCTACCTGTAAAGGTTCACTCACATACTAGGATGATGAAAATTAAAAAATTATTCCATGAATAAAGTAAAATGTTATGCAATAATCATGGTTCAATCTGTGTTGTCAACCCTAAATCAGTGCTTAGGTGCAAATCTGTGTTGAGCCTGGGGAAACTCAAGTCGGTGCTTGCTGCATATGAGCCTTGGGAGGACGAAGGGGTTACCCCTAGAAGCAAGAATCTTGTCTGTTGGTTACTGAAACACCCCTAAGTGGTCCACTTTCCAATCTCTATCCTCCCATACTGAATAACTGACACTAGTGGTAAGTGTTCTTTCTTCTTGCCTAGCAATTTCAGTAGGTCTGTATTGTTCTCAAGTTCCAGCCTAGATTCATGGGTTAGTTCGTGCTCAAGAACATTTGCACCATGGTTCCACATGACTCCTGTAGCCTCGCCTCTTTGGCCACCATTATAGCAGCCTTGCTTTACCTTTGGGAACATACCCCTCCCTCGGTCATGGCCAGAGCGCCTGCCCTTCCCTCTCCCTCAATTTGGAATGCCCTTCCTACCTCTTGTTAACATTCGACTCAAGTGTTGTCTTCTGTTGATGCTGCCTTGTATATTTAATTATCCCTTTTCTATATGCTCCTGATAATCTATAAATACTATGTTTTATAGTGGTTGATTGTAGGTCTTACTTTTTCCCAACGGTGTATGAACTGTGATGCCTTATGATAAGAAACATGTCTTGTTAATTTTTATTCTTTATTTCCTTACTTTTATTCAGTATTGACAGATACCTTAAATATTAGATATAAATTAGTTGAATTAACTTACTGTAGCTGTAGCTTCAAATTCTTAGCTCTCTCTACACATACCTCTAGAGAATTTTTCAAAAGTAGGAATGAAATGACAAGAAAAGAAAACATCTATAACTTCAAAATTGGCTTGAATTCCAAGGAAAAATCACTGACGTATCCAACATTAACATTTTGTCCCGATAAAATGCCATTACATCAGATTAATAAAAATCTGAGTCAGATTACATGTAATTAAGATAAAAAGCTTTTTGCACTTTAGTACAGAAAATAGTTTGTAATGCATGTATAAGTGGTAACATCTGAGATGATTACATACCATTTTACTAATGGAATGAGTTTGTGATTCATAGTTGTCTTAATATTTGAGTGCAGCCGGGATTCCCTGAATTGATGATTGTTTCTCTTCTCTGAAAGGTTTTTCAATGGTTGATAGTGTGACTTCTGTTTCAAAAAAACCCAAAGTCCATAAAGCCAGCAATCCCCCCTTAGAAAACTGTGGCATCACTGTACTGGTTGTCTAAATAAAAAGAAACCTAATGTTCTCAACTCTGGATTGCTACTCCCTATTATGCTGTCTTTTTCTGGCTGACTCTCAGCTGGAATATTTGCAAAGGGAACACTGAGGCTGAGCAGAGGCGGGTTGGAGACGATTAAGCGCTGAGCTGTCCATAGTCTTTGTCAAGCTCCAGGTGGGGCTTCTCCCATCCTGGCTGCTGCTACCCTCTCTTTGGGGCCCTCCTGGGACCCTTGAGGCCATGTACACATGATCAGAAGAATTTCTCCTTTCCTTACTAGAAAATTTAAGTGAAGATAAAATAGTAATATTAATAACTTCACTGCATGAAAGTATTTCAGCCACACTGTGTACGGGTATGACAGACTCTTCTACCCCCCTAAATTGAAAAGGACACAGACATGGCTCTTTTGTTTGGGATTGTGATGGCCACCAGCATTCCAGTCACCTCTCTGCTGTCACATTTGATTGAAACCAGCAGAGATATGTTTTGGCAAATCTATTCATAATTTGTCTTTCCTTGCAGGGCTCCCTCTGTAATTGTATTTCCCATCAGGGAGTCAGTGGAGTTAATGTATTGACAATCTGCTGTGATTGAAGACAAATGTCTTGTTAACATTTCCCCCTACTCTTCAACCCACAGAGCAATGCTAAGAAGTTTGGCCTAAAGAATTAAAAGGAAGCGTACTTCTCCAGACAAGACCTTCTTCAGAGGTAGGAGTTTATTGTCTTAAACAGTTAAATTAGTAAGTAGTTAAAGGAGTTCTATCATAAAATGTGATTATACAATGTTATTACCATACTTGATACTTTTCAGTCAAGAAAGCACGGTAAAGTGGAACATTATGATAAAATGGATGCAAAAACATTAATCATATTGCTTGTCAAAGGGTATAGATCAAATGCATGGGGAAGAAATTCTTCATAGTAATAAGAATTTTGTTTTACTAAATTGTGAATTATAAAGTGCAGAAAATGCACAGTAAAATAAAAGCATTGCTAATAAACTATAAGCTTCTAAAAGAATTAAAGGCTTGAAATCGTAGAATAATTTTTAATTTACTTTTAATCATGTATCAAAAATTTCCTGGGAACATACCATTTAGACATGATTTTTTTTTTCATCTTAGAAGTCAAAATAATACAAGAGGCTATTTGGGAAGTTAAAATAACTACTTAGATATGTGACTTATGCTTTAAAAGTCCCTTTCCTACCCCTCACTTCCCACCCTCACTACCCACCCCCTTCCCATTCATGTGTTTTAGGATTATCAGCTCTAAAATGAACTCTGCCAGGCCTATGATGCCTTCTGAAAGGCCATCCATTATAGTATTGAATTTGATAAAAAATATCTTACTTGGAGATCTGGAACACAGTTCAGAGGATTATATCTCAACCAATAATGGGTTTCTTAAGGAATTTATGAGAGCATGATTGTTAAGATGTTTAGTCCTCTACCTCTAAGGCTTTCCTGAACAAATAAACTGTGGCATTTAATTATGAAAAAAAAAAAAAACAGCATATTTTTTATACAAGATGTTGAGGTCATAAACTCCTACAAGCTTATTGTCCCTTGTCCTTGAGAATTCTTAAGTTGATGCATTCAGATGCCATTTTGTATTTAAGAGGAAATGGTTCATGCCTCAGTTGAATCTGCTTCCATTGTGTTGTACTGAAACTGATTTCATGTGACTGACTAGTTATTATGGTGTTTCAGAATACCATCAGATACCCCCAGATCAGTAGCCTGGAAGCTAAAAATGTTGCTTTGTTCTGCTTGAGGAGGCCTTGAAAAGTGAAAATAAGTAAAAACTAGCAAGATGTCTGAGTTAGGTAATTATGACCAATATCAGAAGGGCTTTAATTTTGTATAAATGGTGCTTTGAATAGAAAGCTCCTTTAGTTAATGTAAGATAGATTATTTTTTAAAGTGTTGCTATGCCCCTAACGAGTGTGCATATTTAATACAATAAAGTGATGTAAGATTACGTTTCATCTATTTCTGCAGGAACAGGGAAGTCTGTATGTACCAATTGTAATTGTTAGGAATTAAGCATTAGTAATGGTGTCAGGTAAGATGGCCCATCAATAAAATGTATTTGTAGTAGGTATATAGTATATATAGTAGCTATATAGTAGGCTAAAGTCTTCTGTGGATTCCTAGGTACTGTGAGACCTAGGAAAGAGAGAGAGAGACAGTAAATGGTAGTTTTGAGTGAAAGAAGAAAATATATGAAGACAAGGCAGTGGCAGGACCAGGAATGAATGCAAGGTGCCCTGTGTAAGGCAACAGCAAGGACCAACAGAAGCTGTTTGCTTTACACTTTTTTTAAAGATTTATTTTTATTTCTTTATGCATGTAAGAACTGGGGTTTAGGTCAGAGGTAAGGGGTGTAGAGGTAGGTGAGAGGACTCACCAGAGACAGAGTGGGGAGCAGAACAGGTAGATATACTGAAACATATTACAAAAGAGAGCAGCAGGTGAGACAGGAGAGGTCTGCTGGGCCATGTGGGTCAGCTCCCTGGCCGGGGGTCAAACTGTGTTGCAGTGGTTGTGGCAGCTGTAGCTTGGTAGCTCTGAGACTTTAACCCCTGTGCCACCAGGGAGGCCCTGGGTGCTTTACACTTTTAAGGGACACTCAGGTAGTTTCTAAGGGAGATTTCATGACTGCTACATTATTTTCTTTTTCTTTCATTGTACAAGAAGCTTTTGATTTTAAATCTCTTATCTTCTGGAAAAAAGAAAAAAGGTTCCATTCCACCTTTCTCAAAACATACGTCTCATTTCCTTTTCACTAGCTTTTTGTTAAGTGGCTAAAGTGAACTTTTCATTTGCCAGACACTGTTAGACCCACTAAAATATCCCATTTTATCTTTGTGAATTGTTTAATGTGGTTGAAACTAAATACTGGGTGTCTTCCCCATTTCTTTCCCTTGCTTTACAAAGAGTCCCTGAAACTTCCTCAGATTCTAAAGCACACTTGTATTCATACTGTCCCCAGGCTATTCAAGAATTCAGCCTCTAACATTAGAATAAGAAAGTTGTTTTTTTTTTTTTTGTAACTCCTTAGAGTTTTTAGTACTTTTTCCCACGTTCAATAGCAAGCTTCATATCCCAAAGGTGTGAGCAGGCAAAACATTGATTTGCAGCCCCCACCTCTGCCCTCTGTGTATGAAACTGTCCACATTCATCATTGACACTTAGATGTAAATACCCTCCAAAAAAAATACACCCTCAACCTGGCTTGGATATCTTGAGTTAAAATGCAGCTCTGCTGGGCCCTCCCTGGTGGTGGGTTAAAGCACGACACTAAGAAGTTAAAGCCACTTCAGTATGAGTTCGAACACCACCCTGAAGGTGACCCACACAGCAGAGTAGACCTTTCCTGGCCCACCTGCTGCTCCCCTCAGCAGTGTATTTCAGTACATCTGCCTGTTCTGCTCCCCACTCTGTCTCTGGTGAATCCTCTCACCACCCCTGCACCTCTGGCCTGTATCCCAGTTCTGTATGCATAAATAAATAAATCTTTAAAAAAAAATGCAGTTCTGCTGAAGGTGGAATCTCACTAAGCAGCCAGAGCTAGGAGGGACATGCTCTCCTGAGCAACTCTATGTAGCTGGAGTTCTATTCTGGCTACAGTTGTATAAGTTTAGTTCATAAGAGTGTGAAGAAGAATAATGGCCATACTACATCTTAAAAGGTGTTTCCATTTGGCAAATTATGTGAAAAGAAAAATCTAACAGATTTCAGAATTATTTTTTAATGCGCTTTGGTAGTTCTTTCCCTTGTATTTGTAACTTTTAAAAATTATACACATAGTTTAGGAGAATGGCAATTATATTCTGAGTAGATAATACAAAACTTGACAACAGTAAAAAATATTTATCTCATCCTTAAGTTGATTTGTTAACATGCACTACCATTTTATTACAAAGCCCAAACAGGACTACTATTTTCAATACTATTTGACACATGAAGAGATCTATCAAAATTCTGTTTTAGAGGATCATTTTAAGCTTGGAAATTTCATCTCATGTTACTTGACAACAGTCAAATCTAGGCGGTATAGACCTTCACAAAGGAATACTCATGTCTCCAAACTAGAGATGAAACATTCATGAATAAAAGAGTTACCCTGGAAAACCTACAACTTGCAGAAACCAAGGATCTAAATCTAAATATAAGCAGAGCATATTCATATTTTTGTTTTATACAATTAAGACAGAATAGGTGCTTTGTCAGCTAGAAAACCAGAATGAGCTTTTGTTATTGATTTGTTCCCTCTCACCACACATCCCGAAGGAAAGCTGAGCTGATTTCTGCTCAGAGAGATCTCCTGAAAAGTCCCCACACTGTGGTTGTGACAGAGCTCTTCACGGAATGATTGCTCACCACCCAAGAGCAGCATTCCTGGAAGAGAAAGACAGAGGGACAAGGAACATTGTGTTCTTCCGTCACAGCGGACCAACTTCCCGTTGCTATGTGGATGGAGTTTGTGTCACACCCGAGCCTGAGGGCCAGACGGAAGCACATCAGACCTCACACAGGATGTCTGTTGGGAGGACGAATTATAATACATTCCTGGTATTATCTCTGAATTATTAAGGCATCTGTGATGGCGCTGCCTTTATTGAACAGGCCTTCCCTGTATTGAACCCTTGTAATTCTTTTTTCTTTGGAAAGCACCCTGTCCTCCTTCCACTGCTCTGGAATGCCCAGTGTGGTGGCTGTTTCTGAAATCTTAGAAAGAGCAGTTGAAAGGCATCTAAAAGACATCAACTTTCTTTCCAGAGAGAGAGAGGGGAAAGAGGGAGAGTAAAGACGGTGTTGGCTTTACGTTTTTTGTGATAGCAGCAGTTAACGCAGAGAGCCAGCACAAGGAATCAGGCAACTTCTATGTGTCCTCCCTTCTCCACCCATGATGGTCAGTGGGAAGAAATATCTGCTTTGAAATTAGAGAGAGAAAATTGCCTGAGTCACCCCAGTACAGGATCTGTGTAGCAGCTTAGTGTTTATACACAGAAGGGCTGATTCAGTGACCTTTGCAAATTGCTTCTTGTGGATATTTCCTGTACATTTTCTCTGCGCTTTTGCCTTGTAGTTTTAAAATGTTTTCTAGAGTCACGGGAATGAGAGCTGAGGATGAGATAAGACTAAGTCAGCAGGCCATGGACTTTAAGTTGTAGATTCACTGAAGTGACTACAACTGTGTGCCACTGGAAAAGGGGAGCTCCTGCTTTTACCCCTCATTCCCAAAAAATACAACCTCTGTTGGAATAAAACCCCTGATATCTTTATTCTCGCAGAATGTTTTTTATGTTCAGCATTCCCATGATCAAAATCAATAATGATTGAACTTTAACTGGGTCCTATAACTTACTGAGCGAGGTACTCTGGGTGAGAATGCTGCAAAGCTGTAAGTGTTCATGTCTGTGTACAGGACACAGAGGTAGAAATGTGGGCCTAGCTTCTACGGGAGCGTTATCAGATCACTGCCTTCCAGCATCTGGACATTTCATCCCTGGCTGCTTTTGGAGGGAGTCAAATCCTGACAGGAGGGTTATCTAGGGAACTACCCAGGAGGAAAATAAAACCCAGTGTGGAGCAGGAGGCCAGGCCCAGGCCCCTGCTGGTAGTGCAGTATGTCGCTGTCACATCTGACTGCATACACAAATAGATGCTTGGACTTCTCCCCCTGCTTTATTTTGTTTT